GCAGATAGCGGGGATGGCCAGGGTGGCCACAGCTGCCCTGGGGGCGCGGACACAGCTGCAGCTCCGGCCAGTGGAGCTCCCCCACCGCACGCGCCAGGTCCCGGCAGAGACGCCGCGTCTGCGGCCAGGGGGCCAGGAATGCGGCCGCACATATTGTGTCCTTTCCGAGGGGAGGCCAAGGAACGGTCTGGGGGCTGCTTGCGGCGAGGCGAGGGCAGGACTCGGGGAGAAAGAAAGGAGGGCGGGGCGGGGCGGGGGCCGACGGAAAGAGAAGCAGGGGGACCAGGGGCTGGGGTATACGGTCAGGGGTGGTTGGAGGAGGGGAAGAAATTGAAATGGAGGAAGAGCAGCTCTGCCAACGGTGACCTGGGCGAGGTAAGGAGTGAAGCGGGTGATGCCGGGCAGGGTGACCTGAGAGGGGGCTTCAGAGGAGCAAGAAGGCCTGAGACATAGGCAAAGTCGTATCAGATGGCACCTTAACCGAATGACTCCCAGCACCCTCAGCGTGCCTTTCCCAACCCCCTTGGAGGCGGAAATCGCCCATGGGTCCCTGGGTCCAGATGCCGAGCCCCACCAAAGGGTGGTTGGGAAGGAGCTCACAGTGAGCGGCAGGATCCTGGCCATGTAAGTTCTGAAGGGGACCGGGGTTGGGGTAGGCGGCCGACGGAGACATGGGGAACACCCAAGGATGAGCCCTAAGGAGCGCCAGGTGCGCTGGGCTGGTCTCTGCCTGAGGGGCTGTGTAATGACAGGGCTCCCAAGGGTTTGCTGTAATGGGTGCCTGAGGGGCAGAGCGAGGGACCAGGAGTTGCTACCTCCAATTTGATTTTCTTTTCCCCTTTTAGCCGCTGGAAAGCTGAAGACTGCCGCCTGCTCCGAATTTCCGTCATCAACTTTCTCGACCAGCTTTCCCTGGTGGTGCGGACCATGCAGCGCTTCGGGCCCCCAGTTTCCCGCTAAGCCTGGCCTGGGAAAATGGGGCGAGGTCTCACTTTACCTCTCCTCCTAGGCAGTGCATCATCCATCCTTCCCTAGGGCAGGAATTCCCAGTTGCTACTTTCTTGTGAGGGCCTCATGGTCGGCTTGTACTGGCCTTTGGGTGCTCAGAGGCCCTTTGTTTTATCTGGTTCTTAAATGTTTGTTACTACAGAAAATAAAACTGAGCTACTATTCCAAGTCTGAGTTTATTTTCAGCTGCAGCACCTCCCAATATTCTTGTCGTTGTGCTTGGGTTGCAGGGGAGGTTCCAGAATTCAGATATTCAAGGAGTACGAGGAAATTGAAGACAATTTAGGAAATGGAAGAAAATGAAAATCAGTTGGGTTCTGTCATTCGGGATTAACTACTGTCAACATTTTGGAATACTTCCTCAGTTTTACAGTTGCATTTACGTAGTAAATGTGTAACTAATAGACACCACATAATATTTGCAAGTTTAGTGTTAAATTTTTTTTCCTTATTTTCAAATCTAACATGAGCTGTTTTCCTGTAACGATCAGTGAAGAAAGTGCTGGGGCAATTGACTAGCGTCTGGGGCAAGGATTTGGCTCCCTGGAAAATACAGTGTCTCCAGCCTTGCTAAACTCAGTCTTAGGGCTCTTTCATAGATTCTATCAGATTTTCTGAGTGGAAAGGAAGAAGTACAACTGCTTTTATTCTCGGAAAACATGGAAATGGTTTGATCCTTTTGAATCTTGTTTTGAAGATGTGCTGTGTGGGACCAGAGCAGCTCTTAGTGTAGGCTTCAGTTTCCCTCTACGGAAGCAACAAACACCATTCTGGGCACCCTGGGTGAACATGAGCTTCTCTATCCTGGTGGATGGGGAAAGCTGCTAGTCCCTGTCCTGCTTGCACACTGGAGTTACCATTCATCCTCTCCTGCTGGGGTGATGGCCTTCCCTGGCCTTGGGTAGCTTCCTCATGTGCCTGTGCTCACCAGTAGTCGTAGTCTGCTCAATACTGGAGCAGGCGCCTCTGTGGATATCCAGGGTTCTTTCCCTGTGCAGCTCTCTTCTCTCTGGTTCTCTGCCCTGCAAACACCAGCTGCTGGGATTCTCTGAATCAGAGTTTCAACTCCTAAAGTCCGAGTGTCTGCCAGGGTCCACCAGGAAACTCCACACACGACACTGGGCCAGCTGCATGACTTACCTTGTTTCCCAGTTCACACACCTCACTGTCCCTCACTGGCCCACAGCCACTTTCTTTACACTCTGCAGTCCATATATTTTGTCTGGTTTGGGGGGTTCTTTCATGTGGCAGGACATATTCAGTCCCTATTACTCCATATGGAGGAACAGTTTCCCTTTGTAGAATCTGGGGAGCTCTGCCAGTGGTGACGTTGGCACTGGTCTTCAGCTTATGAAGATGACACTTTCCTCTCTCCCTCTCTTTTGCTCTTATTCCTTTCTTCCTTTCTTAATATTTTTTAGACATTAATAATTGATGAATAGTTGACAGTATAGATCTTTCACTTTTTTTTTTTTTTTTTTGAGCCGGAGTTTCACTCTTGTCCCTCCCCAGGCTGGAAGTGGCAGGTGGCGCGATTCGCTTCAGCAACCTCTGCTTCCCAGGTTTCAAGCAATTCCCTGCCCCTCAGCCTCCAGAAAGTAGCTGAAGAATTACAGGCAATGCCACCCACCCCATGCCAGCTAATTTTGTATTTTTAGTAGAGACGGGGTTTCCATGTTGGTCACTGGTCTTCAAACTCCCTGAACCTCAGGTGGGTCCACTGGCTTTGGCCTCCCAATATGCTGGGATTTACAGGCATAAGCCACCACGCCCAGCCAATCTTTTTTTTTTTTTTTATGGTACAGGGTCTGGCTCTGTCACCTAGGCTGGCACAATCATGGCTCACTGCAGCCTTGTTCCCCCAGGCTCAAGCAATCCTCCCACCTCAGCCTTCTGAGTAACTGGGACCACAGGTATGCGCCACTACGCCAGGCTCATTTTTTATTTTTTGTAGAGAGAGGGTCTCGCTATGTTGCCCAAGCTGGTCCTGAACTCCTGGGCTCAAGTGATCTTCCCGCCTGGGCCTCCAAAAGTGCTGGGATGACAAGTGTGAGCCACCACACCTGGCCCCAATTTAGTTCTGTTCCCCTTCTTCTTCCTCTTCCTCTCATGATGCTTCTGTTAGATTCCATTAATTTCTGAAGGATTTCCCCTGAGGTTAAAAACTGTCTTGTTTTCCTGTGGCTTAGTTGTTATTATCATATGATGGTAATATTTTCAACCATCTCCCTTACCTCTGTCCCCTGTCCAGATGGTTCTGTCTGGGCCGATGGCACAGCTGTCATCCCACAACTTCTCTTTATCCTGGGCTACAATCCAGTCCTGCCTCACACGTCCATCTCTTTATTATTTTACTCCTTATTTGTGCAGTTGGTTGTTACGTGGACGTGTCTAGTTTTGGTAAATACCTACAGTCCTGTAACCACCACCACTGTCTGGCACTGTGGCCCCATAGCTGGACAGCTGGAACTGGCAGCTTTTAAACCCAACTCAGGTGGCCTCCAAGCTGTCCAAGCCACCCTATTTAAAATTGCATCTCACTTGGCTGGGCACAGTTGCTCACAACTGTAATCCCAGCATTTTGGGAGGCCAAGGCAGGAGGATCACTTGAGCCCAGGAATTCAAGACCAGCAAGACTCCATCTCTACTAAAGAAAAAAAAAAAAAAAAAACAGCTGGGTATGGTGGCAAGCACTTGTAATCCTAGCTACTCAGAAGGCTGAGGCAGGAGGATCACTTGAGCCCAGGACATCAAGGCTGCAGTGAGTTGATTTTGCCACTACACTCCAGCATGGGAAACAGGGCAAGATCCTGTCTCAAAAAAAAAAAAAAAAAAAAAAAAGCCAGGCATGGTGGCTCACGCCTGTAATCCCAGCACTTTGGGGTGCCGAGGCGGGCGGATCACGAGGTCAGGAGATTGAGACCATCCTAATACAGTAAAACCCTGTCTCTACTAAAAATATAAAAAACTAGCTGGGTGTGGTGTTGGGCACCTGTAGTCCCAGTTACTCGGGAAGCTGAGGAGGAGAATGGCGTGAACCCGGGAGGTGGAGCTTGCAGTTAGCTGAGATCATGCCACTGCACTCCAGCCTGGGCAACACAGCAAAACTCCATCAAAACAAAACAAAACAAAACAAAAAACCATAAAAAGTAAAAATAGTAAGATTCCATCTCACCTGGCCAGACACAGTGGCTCATGCCTGTAATCCTAATACTTTGGGAGGCTGAGGGGTGAGGATCACTTGAGGCCAGGAATTCAAGACCAGCCTGAACAACACAGTGACACCCTATCTCTATTTAAAAAAAAAAAAAAAAAAAGGGCCTGGCATAGTAGAGTGTACTTACACACCCAGCTACTCAGGAGCCTGAGGTGGGAGGATCACTTGAGCCCAGGAGTTTGAGACTGCACTGAGCTGTGATCCCGCCACTGCACTCCAGCCTGGGCAACAGAGCTATACTCTGTCTCAAAAAAAAAAAAAAAAAAAAAGTAAATTGCATGTCACCTTCCCCCCACCTGCATTACTTAACAGGCCTGGAAGTAAGACTTTGGTAGGTGCACCATGATGGGTGCCACAACCTTGACAGTACATAATTGTCAGGTTTTGAAGGAGTTGGCCACAGCTGAAACCACTGGAGGGTTCTAAACAGTGAGGCAACATGATCCACCTTATATCATAACAGGATCTCTCTGCTTCCCACGCTGAGAACAGGCTGGAGAGAGCCAGGGCAGAAGCAGGGAGACTGGCATCCAGGCAGAGATGATGGCACGGGAGAGCTGGGTAGGGCTGGTGGAAGGGAGGAGAATCTATCTATCTTGAATCTGTCTTGAAGGTAGAGCCACCGGGGTTTGCTGATGGGTCGGGCATGGCCCTGGACCTCCCCAGACCCTCTGGGACCCTGCAAGGAGTGGTCCTTTCTCCCATAATGCAGCTCTAGCTCATGCAGCATCCACAGGTCTACTGACCTGCCCCAAAGACAGAGCCCCACATGGACGGCATTTTCCCAACATTTAATTAGGAAAAAACATTCCATGAACAAAGAAAAAGTCATGCAACTAAGAGGAGAGAATGGGGGGTCTGGGACCGTGAGACAGGGTCAGATTCCTCAGAGGAGGCAGAAGACACGGAATAGTAAGGCACGGCCGCCTTGGCCCCTCAGGGCGGGCGCTGGACGGAGCGGGCGCTGAATGGGGCGGCTGAGTGAGTCGGAGCAGGTGCAGACAACACTGAGGACATTTGGCAGTAGGCTCAGGAGGAGCAGCATTCTGGGGCCCCTAGGCCTAAGTCAGGCCCTGGCACAAGCCTGGGTCCAGTCCTCCAGATGCTCAGCGAGAAGAGGGCCCCAAGGTGCTTGAGGGGGACCCTGTGGCCCAGTGTGGCACAGCCACAATTCTGAGGAAGCTTTGGAGACCTCACCCCAAGTGCCACTGGTACCGTGACCCCGCCTTGGAATGGGTGGGGTCAGCCATGGCAGGGGTGAGGTGCCAGAGGCCAGACCAAGGCTGATAATGCTACACAAAGGAGCCCAGACGGGTGGCAGGGCCCAGGACAGCTCAAGAACAGGCAGGTGAGTGAGGCTGGCGACATCCCGTGGGGGACACATATTTACAGATGGAGACGGAGGCGGAGTTTGATTCAATAAATAGGCAGAGGGATATAAATAGCAGGGAGGGCGGGTCTGTCCCAACACCTGGGCACAGGGCAGGAGGGTGGGGGTATTGCTGCTGCTGGGATGGGGGCTCATCCTGTCACCCCTCCCCCTGCAGGGCCCAAAGCAAGGCACTAATGAAGGGGGCCTGGGTGTGCTGGGGGCATCCTGGCCAGGGTGACCTGCTCCATGATACCCAATCCAGGGCTCAGCCCGGGGACCCACGCTCAAGCCAGCCACTCCCTGGATGGGAGGACGACTCAGGACTGAGAAGCCCCTCCTCACCAATTCCACCACCCTTAGCTGTCACTGGACACGAGGTTGATGATCTGTTCCAGTTTCTGCCGTAACTTATGCTTCCGACAAGAGGCATCTCGTTCCAGAGCCGTGAGAATCTAGGGGAGAGGAATCCCCTGGAGCTGGGCTCTGTAGGGGGCGCAGCTCCTGCCGTGCAAAGTCCCCACTTCCCAGCTGGGCTCCTCCCTCCCACACGCCTCACCCCTCCGTCCTCCCCCGCAGCCCCTGTACAAACCCGCCAGCTCTCCTCAGCCCCAAATGCCCCTCCGACAACAGCACTTTCTCCTCCTCTCCACGGCTAGGGTGCGACCTGGACTCTGGACTTGCCGTGCTGGATCCCCCTCCCATTACCTCCTAGCCCAAGCCTCCCTCAGCAGGCCCCCGTGACCCTTGCCAGACCCAGTGAGTGTTCTGCAGGACACCATCCTTCACCAGCAGCAGTGCTGGAAGACAGAGCTGGCCACTGCCACTCCCTGACCTGTCAGGGGTCCTCACTGGCTCAGGTTACCAGACCCCACCAGGCGCTCTCGGGCATCCTCCCTGCTGGCTGCCGCCGCCTCCCCTCCCCTCCCCTCCACTCTTTGTGTCCTGGGGCCCTGGGCTCAGTGCTTGGGCCACTTCTCCCTCCACACCCACTTGTGGTTTCCCTGTGAGCTCATCCAGGCTCAGGGCTTCAAATGCCATCCACAGGCTTGCAAATGTGTCTGGTCCAGACTCCATCCTAAAGTCCACACCTCTATGTCCTCCTGCTTCTGGCCATTTCTCATCACAAAGCCTGGCCCATCCCTTCCAGTGCTCAGGCCCTTTAACTTTTGCCCAGTGGCCACTTTGTACCCAGCCAGTGGCTTATCTCCTGGGTCCCTCAAATTCCAGCATCTACCTGTGATCCCAGAGAGCATCACCTGTGCCGGCCCCGGGCCCTGGTCAGGGGAGAGACCGTGAACAATCTAAGAAATAGGCTCTGTGTCCCTTCTGTCCCCAACCCTCACCAACCCTCCTGCCTTTGTCACTGACTACACCTTCAGGACCAAGTAACTGGGAGTCTGTGGGGATGACACACACCTCCTGGCGGTACTTGGTGACATAGAAATAGAGCTCGCTGAGTGCACTCAGGACATTGAAGTCGCTGGCATGGAGGCGGGACTGCTCCACCAGGTAAGCATCCATGTCCTGGTCACTGATGGATGCCATCTTTGCAATGTCTCGATAATACCTGTTGGGACCCTGAGTATGTCACTCGGGCGATGTCACAAAAACTAGAACCCCTGCCCTCACTGCCCGGCCAGCCCCCGGGCTTTCTCCCTGTAGCTAGCCTGCCTCGGACAGGCAGCCCAGGGAGGGGCAGGTCCTGCCCTCTGCCACCCACAGCAGGGCAGAGCCCACCTCTCCACCCAGCTCTTGTAGTTGGGGATGTCCTTGGCATAGAGTAGTTTGTTGGAGGGCGAGTCCTTCCCCAGGCGGTGCTCGGATGTGGAGCAGGAGTCCATGAAGGTCTGGGCTACCACCGACAGGCAGGCGTCCGTGATGCTGTTCTTGTGGATGTCGAACACGAACTGCGGGTTCTTGATCACATTCACCCAGAAGCGCAGCGGCAGGCTGCGGACAACAGAGGGCCACGCCCCTGAGGCTCCCCAGTTAGCCCGGGGGCCCCTCCCATGTGCACATCTCTTTCCTGTCGGGCCGGCTCACATCTTGTCCAGAGGTGGTGAGAGCAACACATTTAGGGTGAACGGCCTTTCCTCAAAGTCTCAACCCCCTCCGCAGCTTCTCCTGTCACTGCTCTCACCACCAGCATCTCTACCTGGTGTGAGACCCCAGAGCGCAGAGGCCCCACCACCACCATCCCACCCACCTGGGCAGCCCAGCTCCAGGACTGGACGCAATGGGCCCCTTGGCTTGATGGCACTGTCAGTGTCAGCCCCAGGCCAGGCCTCATTCCCTCCTGCCTGGATGCTACTCCAGGCCCTGGGTCTCAGCAGAGCCACCAGCATCTTTCGCCCACCCATCTCCAGACAGGTTGCTGGCAGCCCAGCACAGGGCGATACCAGTTGCTCTTCCAGGTGTGGCGCACGTCGGGGTCGCTGATCTGGCGCTGGTCGGCCTGCTCGTCCAGGAAGTCGAACATGTACTTGATGGCCAGGGGCAGGGCTGAGCCCCGGTGGGCTGTGCTGAACACTGTCTCAAAGAGGTCATCCACGAACTTCTGCAGTGTGCCCTGTGTGGGGCAGAGAGGTCACAGGCTATGAGGGAGCCAGGCTGGGATGTCCCCAGAGCAGGACAGATGGAGGCAGAAAGGTTTGGCAAAGAGCGGGGCTTCCCTACAGGGCCAGTGGCCTCTCAGATAGACCCGGCCTTGATCTAAGGCTCAGAGTTCCCATAGCAAAGACCCTAAGAAAGGCCCACGGGACCCAAATGATCTATGGTCCCCTCCCCTGTAAGGCCGGGACAACCTCTGGGCCGAGGCCAAGGCATAAGGCATCTAAGCATCTGTGCAGAGGCCAAGGTGGCGAGAGGCAGGCCCACACCTTGGTGGCCAGCAGCCGTGTCAGGTAGATCTCGGAGACCATCTTGCTGCCACGGTCCCCCTCACGATGGTCGGCATGGTCGTGGTTTTTCACCAGGTGCCACAATTTGGTGCCCGTCTCCTGGTCAGGCGTGATCATGGGTGCCCGTGAGCGGAGGCTATCAGGGCTGCTGGCTGTGCGGAGCAAGCTCTCTGGAGCAGAGAATGCATGTGACCCTTAGGCCAATACCTGGCCCCTGCCCCACTCGCCCGGGAGCCCAGCAGCCTGTGGGGACCCATCTGCCCTCACTGGCCGACCCTCCGTCTACACTCCACAGAATCACAGACCTCCCGATGGCACTTGGAAGGGGGGGTTCCCTGGGACGGCTTAAGCAGCCTCGAAGGGCACACGGCCACCACAGTGAGTACACCTACCGTAGCGGCTGAGGGAGCGGGTGAAGGTGAAGGAGTTGGCCATGTTATAGGCAGATACTTGTTTGGGCACCAGTGCCACCAAGGAACCATCTGTCACCTGGAGGCCCCAGAGACAGAGGGGGGCAGTGCAGGAAGCTAAGAAGCCAAGGAGCCCCCACCCACCCACACCCAGGAGGGGAGCCCACGGGTCCAGGGACAAGGGCAGGGGGAGCGAGGACCACCGCTGCTGTGTCCTGCTACAGCTCAAGGCAGGGTCCTGGCTCCCAGGTGGCCCTGGGGGTGAATGGGCCCCAACCCCTCACCTGGTAGTGGGCCAGTGAGTTGAGCCTCTTCCAGTCACACTCGATCTTGGTGGTGACATCCTCATCCTGGAGGATGATGCGAGTCATGCGGCCCTGGCGCCACTCTGTGGGCCATAGACAGCCCTTAAGATTATGCTGGAAGCCCCCAAGTCCCTGGCCCACTCCTCTTAGAGAACAGAGTTCAGGTGGGGAGCGGGACAGCCCACGGAGGTCACACGGCACAGGAGGGTATGAGTAGGAGCCAGGAGGAGAGGGCGGAGACCTCACCCAGGTCCATGTCCTCAGCTTTGGGGCGCTGGGAGTACGGAATGCCCTTGTACACAGTGTCCAGCAGCTTATCTTTGGCCTGGGTGATGCTGTCACAGTTGAGAACCTTCACTGGGACTTGGGCACTGCCCTCGTTCTCCGGACACACGCAGTGCAGGGTCTGAGGGGAAAGCGGACCCCAGCGTCAGTCTAGGGTGAGGCCTCTCTCTGCGCCCGCACCTCTGGCCCGCCTGGCCCTGGGCTCACCAGTGTCTTGTAGTCAATCTGCTGCCGGATCAACTTGTCCTCGCTCAGGGAGTATCGCGCCTCGCCCGTGATGGCATCGATTGGGCCCTTCTCCATCTGCTGCTTGATGGCGCAGTAAAGCAGGAAGAGAGGCTCCCCAGCACACTCCTGCAGCCAGTGACAGGTACACAGCTGGCTGCCTGCCTTACCATCGGCTGGTCCTCTGCCACCACCTCCCTGCCGCCCACCCACCTGGCGCACCTTCAGAAACTTATGCAGCAGGAACGTGAACCAGTTGGTAAGCATCTTCTCGGCCACTGACTCTGTCCTAGGGCAAGAGAGGGGTGCTTGGGCCTGACAGAGGTGGGGCTTGGGCAGGGGGAGGGCCAGGCAGGACAAAGGCGTGGCCTGGATAGAGCGAGGCAGGTACCTGCGTAGCAGCAGCTTGGGATGGTTCTTACTCTCCAGGTTTTTCTCGATGAGATCAGCCAGCAGTTGCTTGAGCAGCCCCGTGGCATAGTCGAGCCGGCTCTGCAGGGCCACCATGGTGAGCGAGGCCACGGTGCCGCGATCGCGCATGGAGAAGCTGCTCTGGGCTTCCAGCGTGTGGATGAAGGTAAGCACGAAGGCGCGGCTGTGCAGCAGCTGCCCGAAGAGGCGCAGGGCCTTCTCCATATTGGGTGGCGTCTGTGGGGAGCAGGAAGTCTCAGAGGGTGGGGTCAGCCCTGAAGGGAACTGGTAGGGGCAGGCGAGGCAGAGGCTCACGTCCAGCTCCTTGAGCACCGGGTGGGCCTCGATGCCTGGGAAGAGCACGCGCACGGCATAGGTCCGGTAGTCCAGGAAGGGGATCTGCACCTCGTCCATGTGGTTAGTCAGCTCGTTGATGTCTGTCTGCAGCTCTGCAAAAGCTGGGGGGTGGAGAGAGGGAGTGAGTGGGCAGGAGGGAGGTCCCCAGCTCCCACGCCACATCCCGCCCCACCTCAGGCACCTTCCTTGCACTCCAGAGCCACACGGGATTCCAGGTTGTCCATCTGCAGCTGCAGGCGCTTGAGGGTGCGGTCCGCGTCCTGAGTCTTGCGCTTGTAGGCCACCAGCACAGCTGTGATGGCCAGCAGCAGGAGCCCGCCCCCCGCTGCCAGCCCCATCATGGCCGGCAGGGTCAGTGCCCGCTCTGCCGAGATGTGCAAGGTGCCCAGCCAGAACTCCAGGCCACCCACCAGCACCTGTGGGGACAGGCCTGAGGTGAGCTGACCACCATGTCCACCCTGGGCTGCCCAGGGGGTCTCCCCATCCCCACCTACCATGACAGGCTGCCGGCCAGTCTGGCTGGGTGAGTCGCACAGGAGTTGTGTGTCCGAGACAGTGAGCGCACACGGCTGGCCTCCTATCAGCACAGTGTAGTTGAGGCGGGAGCTGCCGGCTGCTGCGGGAATCAGGTTCTTGCCCTGGGGGTGGAGGACAGCGTCAGCCCAGGGCTCTCCACTTTCCCGCCCCTCCCCACTCCCACCCCGCCCGCACCTTCAGCACCACGTGGGAGCCCGGTTTGACATCCAGCACACCAGAGGGCCCCAGCGGCTCAAAGCTGGGGTCAGGGTAGTAGGTAAAGGAGGAGCGGTTGAGGGAGCGGGCAGTTTGCACGTGGTCCAGCAGGAAACCAAACTCATCAGGGTGCTCGCCTTGCGCCCGAGGCTGGGGCTGCCCAAGAAAGATGCCGGGGGCCTTACACAGCATGGCAGTGTCGTTGATCACCTGACATGTCTGTGGGGACAAAGGTGGACAGCCAGGCATGTGAAGCCATGGGCTGCAGGGTCGGGGTGGGGCGGGGCAGCTGGTACTCACGTTGGTGGTCTCGATGCCACGGTACTTGGCACGGACCCGGGGCTCCTGGACCGTTAGCAGGTGTGTCCCGCTCACAGTGATGGCGGTGCTTCCGCTAGGGACAGGGCAGGGGCCTCAGGCTCCCTCCTCCAGTGCACCCACCCAGCCCTGGAGAGTGCTTGAGGCTACCGTGGCAGCCCAGGCCTTCCGTGACCCTGAATCACCTAGTGAGTGGTGGATACTGTGCGGCCAGGACAGCTCTACCCCCTCTACCAATGAGGGCCCAGGCTCCAGGAGGGGCCCCACTGGAGCTCAGAGACCACTGAGTCCCTGAGCCCTCTGGACACTGCCGGGCTCCCCAGTCCCCCAGGGTCTTACTTGATGATGCTCCAGGTGGGCTCAAGGCGGGTGACGGTCGGGTCCTGAGTGTAGGTGTAGAGGACTCCGGGGCTGGAGATGTTAGCCCGGTCAATGGCAAGTGTGATGGGGGCCTGGCTGGGGCCCAGGGTGGAGACGGGTGAGATGCACACGATCGCCTTGGCATCTCTCCTACATTGGCAAGTGGGGTGCTTGGAGTGGGTGGCCCAGGGCCTTCCACCACCCGTCCCCACGGCGCCCGACACAATGCCCAACCCAAAACTGGCAGGGCCCCAGCCCACCTTACGAACTGGCACTCGCTGTCCCTCACAGTCACTGTGACCCTGCTGCCAGCATCCAGAGAGCTGCCTGAGATGGTGAGCCGTGTGCCCCCTGACGCCGGGCCACGGCTGGGACTCACTTGGTCAAATGTTGGGGTCTGTGGGAGAAGCTGCCCTGAAGGGAGGAGCCAGGCTGGGCTGCTCCACACGCCCCTTGCGGGAGAGAGAAGGGACAGGAAGGGGGAGGGCCAGCAGCCACGCACCACAAAGCTGTAGAGCTGCTCCGACTGTGTGCGGAAGTCAGCTGAACAGTCACCCACGCACAGCTCCACGGGCCCCGGCGGTGGGCTGGGCACCAGCGACTCCTCCATCTCACACACGATCCTAGGGCTCAGAGAGCGTCAGGGCCGGCCAGGCCACATACAGCCCGGGCACCCACACAGCCGCACTCACCTCTCAGCACTGATGTACTCGGCCGGGATAGAGTTGCAACGCACACCAGCCACCCGCAGGCCCACCTCTCGGGACAAGAGGCCCAGGTTCTCACCCATGATGGTGACCCGGGTGCCTCCCTCCTTAGGCCCCACAAGAGGGTGGATCTGTGGAGCACGATGGGCAGTGAGAGGGTTGGCTCAGGCTCCCAGGGGCCCTGTTGGCAGTGGGCAGGGGTGGTGAGGGACGCTGACCTGCGTGATGTGGGGGTGGCTGCACCGGGTGCCCTTCTGGCTCAGATGCATCCAGTTGGTCTTTGGGGCTGGGCAGTGGGTCCGCAGCTGGCACCTGTGCTCTGAGATGCACCAGCCACAGTTGAAGCGGGGATCAGCCTTGAGGCAGAGGCCACAGCTAGGCCGCTGCGCCCAGCACTTGTACAGGAGGGCTGCAGGCACAGAAGGCACTGCTAACGGAGCAGGCAGCCGCAGAAAAGTGGCAAGTGGGGAGCACTAGGGCCCCCAGACCCGACCCCAGCAGTGCCGATTGCCTTAGGAGGCAAGCTCCCTGGCCTGTGCTGCCCTTCACCTCGGAAGCTGGGAGGCTTGTCTATGGGGAAGTCTCCATCCCAGACCACGGAAAAGTCCAGCTCGGTGTCACCATGCTCATCACCTTCATAGGAGTACTAGCGGAAAAGAACCCATGGGACCCCAGATAAGATGTGCAGAACCCCCCCACCAAGATTTTTGCCAGCTATCCCCCTCCTCCAGGTACAGGAATCCCTAGCAGGAGACTCAGAGAGTTCCCTGCCAGGGAGCTGGGCATAGACAAGAACGATCCGCACCATGCCACAGCCCAGACCCCGAAGGGAGGCAGCGGGCAGGACCTCACCGAGGCATTCTGGCACTGCACACTGCTGCTGTTGAAGCGCACGGCAGGCACCCGCTGCTGCCGCCCCTGCACCCGCACCACGCACTCATAGTTCTTCTGGCCCGATTGCGGCTGAGGTAGGTTCTTAGCCCGCAAGGTAAGAGGCTGCATGACCCCAACGGGGATCAGGAGGTCCCCACTGGGCAGGATCTCAGGGCAGCCCTGGGGAGAAAGCACCTGTCAGCTGCACACAAGGCCACCCTTCTCCAGGCCTAGCCCAGAAAAGGCTAAAAGAAACTGAGAACACAGAAGCCAGTGACCCGCCCGCACCACAGAGCCCAGCCCCTCACACGCGGCGCCCGCCTCACCTCAGGGCTGCGGACCCTGCCCTCCTGGAAGGAGCACTCATGGGGGCGGCTGGTACAAGCGTGGCGGTACTTACACCAGTGGCAGGGGTAGGGGCTGCCAACACAGGACATGCACCTGGGGGGGAAGTGGCTTCAGAAATAACAGAGGAGGCTGCACTGCCCCTCACTGCTCCCCAACAGGACACATCGGGAACCGAAGGAAGAAGGCAGCCATATCAGGGGACAGAGAGATATGGGGATGTCAGGGGCTATCAGCACCTGACAGTTAGCCCCTGATGCCCCAGAAACAGTTGCCCTGCAGGTGTCGCCTGTCCCAGAGGTTCCCTCTATCCCCAGGGGTAGGGGTGGGTGCTGGGCCAGGTACTCACGACTGGAGAACGCTGCAATTGTAGAAGACAAAGTCAGCACCGGCGAACCTCACGCCTGTCTCCTTGGAGAGAAGCTGCAGCCGCACGGTGCGGGTGGCCCCTGCAGCAGTCCCCGGGTGGCCATGAACTCTCTGGGGGCAGGGAGAGGCCTCACCCTGCCCCACCCTGGGCAGCCCCAACCCACTGACCATGCCCTCTGGTAAGAGCTCGGAGCTCCTGGAGGGAGGGTGAGGGGCAGAGCAGTTCACCAGAGGGCAGCAGGATCGCCTCACTCTCCGCCACCTCCTCGAAGGTGCAGCTCACGCCTGCACTGAGGTCCGGCACATTATGCAGGGCGACGGTCAGCTGGGGGAAGCAGAGGGCTCAGGGCAGGGTGCACTCCCAGCACATATGTGCACACCCAGCCCGGCACCCCCAAGCTGCTCACCTGCACCCCAGGCGACATCACTGACACATTGTTGGGCCGGACCCGCACCTGGACACACTTGTTCAGTTCCTCAGCAAAGCCGTGCGGGGCAGAGGCGCCCGGACAGGCCCCTTCGCGGCAGCACCTGCACGGGGTCGGGCCAGAGCCGGTCCCGCCACTGCCCCGAGAGGGCCCAGGCCTGTCCAGCTCACAGTGCCAGGCAACAGCGAGCCTTGGCCTCGTCCCCGGGGGCCTGAGGGACGTCACTCGGGGTGGAGGTTCCGCTCATTAGCTGGAGAAAGTGGAGGAGGGCGGGGGAGGCCGCAAGGGCACAGCTGGGTGTGGCTGGCTCCCCCTGGCTAGTGGGGCCCTCCAACTCCCCAAGCAGGGGCCCCCGCCCTCACCTGTGCTGCAGCACACACCAACCACAGTGTGGGTCCCCGGAGCCCAGGCAGGCCGTGCAGCTCGGGTACTGCTCACAGGTCTCCACTGGAAGCTGGCTCACCTGGAGACAGCCACATCAGCACCCAGCCCGCCCCCACCCCACCACCCACCGCCACCCATCACAGGCCCACCTGCTTCTCACTCAGGAGATAGATGTGCTGGTGGTCCGGGCTGAAGAGCAGGTCTCGGAGGATGGGGCTGCCATCCACCACGGGGACCGTCTCATACAGGTGGGCATCCTGGGAGCCATCGACCCGCACCTGAGCCACAAGACCAGCCTGATGCCACCACAGCCTCCTGCACCTGGGACATTGTCTTCTCCGGCCAGAGACTTTGGAGGTTGTGGCTGAGGTGAAGTCAGGGCCTGGTGGGGTTCAACACTCACACCCACAGCCCTGAGGCCAGAAAAAGGAGGGTGCAGATGCCAGAAAATGCCCTCAGCAGACAGGACAGAGTGATTCATGTTGCCCAGGGTCAGGGGATTCAGGGGAGGGGAAGAGCTAGAGGATGGCATTGATTACGGGAAGGAGGTAGTGGTGATGGTTGCACAACTCTGCAGATCCACAGAAACCCACTCAACTGTGCACTTTAATCGGGTGAATTGGATGGTGCGTGTTCAACAAAAGCTGCTACAAAGAACAAGAGGGTCCCAGGAACAGAGCAAGTGGGACGGGAGAGCTCAGCATCCTTCTCCACAAACCCTTCCCTGTGCCCCCAGACCAACTCTTGCCCTCCTGGGGGATGGCACTGCGTCTATGAGGCAAGCAGGATGACAGCACTGCAGTCCCCCAACTCCTACCTATTCAGAATGTACCTGAGTGCTCAGGAGTTCACCTCCCCCTTCATGCCAAGCTACCCCCAGATCCCCAGGGGAAGCAGCCACAGCCGCAGGGCGCATGAGGGAAAGAACAGTGGGGCGAGTGCATGGATCTGGAAAGCCCTCTCTGGGAAAGTGACATTTTGGGTGGGAGGAGAAGGATGGGAAGTAGTGAGCCAAGGAGAGGGCAGGGACAAGTGGGTCCATCCGAGGGATGGGGAGGTTCAAGGGGCAGGGCATTTGCTCTCTTGTTCATTTAACAAAGAACCCAGCAATGACGGCTCAGCCCCAGCCCTGCTCTCGTGGCAGGGAGACCCCACAATAGGTCTGTTCTCTGTCCCCTGAGCCACAGGAAGCTGGCAATTCAGTCCACAGTGGGAACTGGCAACGGTGAGGGTGGGTGGCCGAGGGACCACCTGAGGAGCAGGGCCAGGCTCCTGGGACCCAGCCAGGGAAATCTCCCTCCCTGCACCAGCCATGTCCTCTCTTGTCCTATCCTCAGGGGTCTGCTGTGTGTTCCCACCACCAGCTTTGTCCCATATCTGAGACTGTCCCCACCCCCACACGCCCAGGGCTCTGGGGGCCACCTTCTTCAGGCTGCCGCTGCGCGTGCCAATGAAGACCACAGAATGCCGGCGGTAGGTGTAGGCGGCCACACTGGCCATGCCGTCGGTGCTGTCGGCCAGCAGGGGCAGCCCCTCGATCACGTGCAGGCCTCCCAGAGGCTGGTTCAACACCAGCCCGCAGAAGTTGCCGTTGATCTGCATGGGCTGGTGAAACAGAGGAGGGATCCGTGAGAGTCAGAGCTCCCCGGTGCAAGCACACAGCAGCCAGACGGAGGCTGGCAGTTCCTGTCTCCCAGAAGAGAGCGGGATCTAGAACCCAGTCCCCTCCAGGCAGGCCTGACTGCTCGCCCTAGGGTGCTCCAGAAAATTGGCAGCTATGGAGGGAGACAGAGGAGGGACAGCAGGGAGGGAGGAGCGAAGCCTGGGCCCACAGGACTCTCACTGGCTCAAGACAAGGGGCATCCAGGAGACGGAGCAAGGAGGAATGAGCTAGGAACGGAAGCAGAAGTGGGGCACTGGGCAGGCCAGAGAGAGGGAAGGAGAGGGCAGGGACCCCTGGAAGGGAGAAACAGGTGGGAGGGCAAAGGTGCCACTTCCAGGGCCATGACAAAGCCTGGGACAGGATGACTGGCCGTGAGCCCAGGCCAGGCACGGCAGACCTGGGACAGGGCAGAGAACCAGTGTGGGGTGACAAGGGGCTCACAGTGTTGATGCAGGGCAGCTCCTTGTTCAGCAGCCAGGGCAGGGCCAGGGTGCCCTCCCCGCGATAGCAGGACTGGATACGGCGCCGGATGTGGGCATTGATGTTGCTGAGAGTGAAGAGGCAGAGGATGGTCTGCCGGGGTGGGCTGGCTCGGTTCTTCTGGCCCTGAGAGAAGATGGTGAAGAGGATGTCCTCGTCAGCCGGCACGCCCAGGGCCTGGGCCAGCAGCAGGCCAGGCTTGGCCAGGTGGGCGCTCTGCACTAAGCGGTACTCCACACCACGCCAGGAGCAGCCGATGGGGAATTCCACATATGAGTAGAACTCTGAGTCCCCAGCGCACATGCGCACGATCTTGGACGTGAAGAATTTCTCGCCCGCTGTGTCCAGCAGCGTCTGCTGGGTGTCCAGCTGCAGCGTCAGGAAGTACACGAAGGAGGCGCTGACGAAGCCGTAGATGTAGTAGATGTCAAAGGCAGGGTACAAGGACAGCGTGTCCGAGGGAATCTTGATCTGGGAGGAGACAAACTCATCCTGGTACACCTGGGGAGCAGGGGGAGAAGACAGCATTGGGTGAGGCCCTATGTCAACATCGCGGGCCACCACCAGCTTCCCTCTGCATTCCCCTCCTGCCCAGACGATCACGAGGCCCAGGCCAGAAAAGCTGCATAGGGCAGGGTGATCAGCCTCCCTGCACACAGGGGACCCCCACAGCCTGGGCTCAGGCTGTCGTCCCACCCTCTGCAACCCGTCTGCATCCCAGACTCTGAGAAGCCGAAAAGTCCCCTCTCAGAACAGGACTCTTCTGGGAGGCAGAGCCAGGACTTGATAGAGGAAGGAGAGAAGGAAGGCTCACGCACGAGACTGAACATGTCCACGCTGTCTTCATCACTGATGAGCTTGCGGGAGCTCAAGGTGGGGAAGTACTCCGACTTGCCGTCGACAGCAGTGCCCACGAACAGCTTGCTGGGCCCCTGGCCCTGCTCCACAATGACACCAGCCATGGAGTCAGGCTCCTGGGCCCCCGACAGGTAGTGCTCCTTGCGGTGGTGCGGCTCACCCAGCTTGAAGAGGTCGTCCACGCGCAGGAACTGGCAGATGCCCTGCCAGATGCTGCCGCAGGCCACCAGGCGGCGGGCCGCATAGTCTATGAGCAGCAGCTTGTTGATGTTGTCCACGGGGGCCAGGCGGTGGGCACACACGCGCATGCTGGGGGGTGGGTAGCAGCGAGCGTTGTCCTCGATGGGCCCCGTGACATGGGCCCGCAGCTCAGTCAGGTTGGAGGCCAGCTTAAAGACTCGGTTCACTGCGCCCACGAACACCTCCCCAGTCACCCGGTGCACAGCCAAGTGGGTAAGCTTGGTATCTGTCACCACAAAGGCACGGAAGGGCCTGCTGCCCAGGGCCCCCCCCACGGCAAGGAACAGCAGCAGGAGGAGGCAGACAGAGGGCATGGCCGGCAACCGCGCCGGGGGACAGGCCTGGGGAGAGACAGTGTGTGGGAGTCAGAGGCCTTGAGCCACAGAGGGCTGGGCCATTCACCCACCACCCCGCCAAAGCCCCAGATGGCCACCGCGACAGGGAGAGAGGAGGGGCCTCCACCAGGGCGCATGAGTGAGCAGCCAGCGAGGGCAGGCTTGGGGGCCATCAATCGTCCCTCAGACCCCGTGCTGGAAAGGAGCCAGGAGGCCTCGCCTCAGCTGGGCCACACCCAAGGGGGCAGCAGAGCAGATGCTGGGAAAGGCCAGGCAGGAGGCCCTCCGGAACTGAGACCCCAGATGCCACATCTCAGAGCCCAGGGCAACCAACAGCAAAGAACAGCAAGCCCCAGGCCTCTGGGCTGTCCCCAATGCCTGAGCTGAGGGGAGAGGGAGGCAGGGACAGAACAATTGCAAGCTGGGGAAGAGGGGCAGGGGCAGGAACACCACCCGGAGTGGCACTGCCACCAGGAGGCCTGGGATAGAGGTCTAGGGAAGGGAGGCCTGATGGAGGATCCAGAACCACCATGACCCCTGAAGGGGCCCCAGCTGCCTCCCTGACAAGGGCCTCAGCTGGCTGTCCAGGAGCCCGCTGTCTGGCCTCCCGGATGCAACACAAAGCCGAGTCCCGCCTGCCCCCTCAGCCACACACCCAGACACACATTATAAGTCAAGCTCTGCTCAGGCACAGCCTGCGAGGCTCCCCCTCCAGACCCAGAGGTTCACTGGGGAAGGGAATGTACAGGAGGCCCCACCTGCTGTTTGGAGTCCCAGGAGCCTTACAAAAGGAGGAGCAATGTCCCCAAGTACAGTCAAGGCCTTGGGGAGACAGGGCAGGAGCCACAGGGACAGTGCTGGGACTGGCACTTAGCCCCCAGGCCACACCCAGCCAGCCCCAGGCTGCTAAGACAGCAGAGCAGTGTCTTGGCAGCCAACAGGGCAGGGCTCAGCGCTACCCTCTCAGTGCCAGAGCCCCCGGGGGCAGATAGGAGGTACCCAGCTTGGGGGGGGCGGGGGGCGGTGCAGGGAACCAAACCAAGGAGGCACAGAAGAGAAAAAGGGAAAAAAAATGCATTTGCCAGAACAAGGAGCAGGCCCAGCTTGAAACTGCAAAGTTTCAGCTCGGATTGATCACCTCTCCAGGGCTCTTTTGTCAGCCGGACCCTCATGCAACAGCCGGAGAAGAAAGGAAGACCAAAGAAAAGAGAGGCCACATCCTGTCCTCACCTCCTCTACACCCCGGGAACACAAGCCTAGGAATAGGCTGGGGACAGGTAGGGAGGGAGACCTGGGGAGGCAGAATTTCAGGCCCAGCCCCCACCTGTAAGTGGCAACCTCGGGCATCACAGGTACAGCTGGGCCAGCAGAAAGCCTGAGGACGGGGCAGCCCCACGCAGAGACGCGGGTCCAGCGGACGCCCCCCAACACCCCCCACTGTGCTGCTGGTCCAGTTTGCCCGGGCCCCATCAGGGCACCCCTCGGCGGACTCGCGGAGCCCTTAGCGGGAGGGAAGTACAGCGTTGATCCTCCGAGGGGCCGCTCCCCTGCGACAAAGGGTCCTCTTTGGGCAAGGGGCTGGTCTTGGGTTGGCGTCCCCACCACGCAGGGCCGGGCAGGCCGGCGCCGACGGGCAGGGGTAGGGCCTGACCCCCACAGGCCGAGTCGGACCCCCGGGCTGCCGGAGCCCCGGGCCCGGAGCTGGCTGGCCCCGCACGGCGAAGATGACGGCCACCTACCTGTCCCTCTGCTGGCTCCAGGTGACCGCCCTCTGGCCACGTGGACGCGCCCCCGAGCCCCACCGCGGCCCCGCTCGCGCGCCCCTTCGGCCTCGCCCCGCGCCCCGGGCAACACGCGCGCAGCCGCCGCCACCGCCCACACACTGGGCCGGCCCGGGGGCCGCCGCAGCCTTTTAAACCCGGACCGTACCACCGCGCGGGGCGGGGGCGCCCGGGGACGCCCGGCCGAGGGGGACGCAACGGCAGGGGGCGCGGGCGGGGCCGCTGCTCCCCGCGGCCAAGGACCTCGTGCGCAGACCCGACCCCCGCGACCTGCAGGGGGACCCGCCCGGCCAGCCGACCCCCTTCGCTCGATGGCCGCGTCCGCGGCGCGCGCCTCCCCCGCGCCCCGGCTCCCCGCCCGCCGCCTCGGGCGACCCCGGAACCCGCGCGCGCCCGCGCCACACCCCCTCGGGCCTGGGGCGCGCGCCCGCCTCGCCCCACCCTGGCGCTCGGAGACGCGCCCGGGGTCACCTGCCACCGGGGCGCGGCCTCGCTGGTCCCGGCCTCTCAGGTACACCGCCGCCGAGGACTCGCGCCCCCAGCTCAAGACACGCCCCCGACAGTCTCTAACCCGGAGGGCCTGCGGCGACAGCCGTCCAAACCAGCCCCTTCCCGGCGATTCTGAACCCTGGCCTTTCTTCCTTCCCTTGCTTTATTTTTCCTTTTCTTTTTTTGTTTTGTTTTGACACAGGGTCTCGCTCTGCCACCCGGGCTGGAGTGCAGTGGTGAGATCATAGCTCACTGCAGCCTCGACTGCCCCAGGCTCAAACGATGCTCCCGCCTCAGCCTCCCAAAGTGCTGGGAATACAGGTGTGAGCCACCGTGTCCCGCTAAGGTTTTCCTTTTCATTTCCCTGATGACTAATGATGTTTAGCATCTTTTCATGTGCTTGTTGGCCTTTTGTATATGATCTCTGAAGAAATATCTATTCAAGTCCTTTGCCCATTTTTATTAACCATATATATGTATGTATAGATAGATAGATAAGATAGATTTTTTTCCCCCCAAATTGAGGTCTCCCTTTATCACCCAGGCTGCAGTGTAGCGGCACTGGATCATGGCTCACTGCAGCCTCAACTTCCTGGGCTCAAGGGATCCTCCTGCCTCAGCCTCCCAGGTAGCTGGGACCACAGGCAAGCGCCACCACACCTGGCTAACTTTTCATATTTTTGTAGAGAGAGACAGGGTCTTGCTACATTGCCCAGGCTAGTCTTGAACTCGTGGGCTTAAGCAATCCTCCTGCCTCAGGCTTCCAAAGTACTGGGATTTGCTGGGCGTAGTGACTCACGCCCGTAATCCCAGCATTTTGGAAGGCCGAAGTGGGTGGATCACCTGAGGTCAGCAGTTCAAGACCAGCCTGGCCAACATGGTGAAACCACATCTCTACAAAAAATACAAAAATTAGCCGGACATGGTGTCATGTGCCTGTAGTCCCAGCTACTCAGGAGGCTGAGGCAGGAGACTCTCTTGAACCTGGGAGGGGGAGGTTGCAGTGAGCCAAGATCATGCCATTGCACTCCAGCCTGGGAGATAGAGCAAGACTCTGTCTTAAAAAAAAAAAAAAAAAAAAGTACTGAGATTATAGGCATGAGCCGCCGTGCCCGGCCCTCAACTGACTTTAAGTAAAAGATATCACTCTTGATAATGTGTGTGGGCCTCATCCATTTAGTTGGATGGCTTTAAGAGCAAAACCCGAGGTTTCCTGGAGAAGCAGAAATTCTGCCTCAAGATTGTAACACAGGCCAGGCGCGGTGGCTCATGCCTGTCATCCCAGCCCTTTGGGAGACCAAGGCAAGCAGATTACCTGAGGTCAGGAGTTCGAGACCAGCCTGGCCAACATGGTGAAACCCCATCTCTACTAAAAATACAGAAATTAGCTGGGCATGGTGGCGGGCATCTGTAATCGCAGTTACTTGGGAGGCTGAGGCGGGGGGCAATCACTTGAACCCAAGAGGTAGAGGTTGCAGTGAGCCGATATCATGCCATTGTACTCCAGCCTGGGCGACAAGAGCGAGACTCCATTTCAACAACAACAAGAAGACTGTAACACAGAAATTCTCCGAGTTTCCAGCCTGTCCTACAAATTTCACACCAACTTGTCAGCCCCAACAATTGTGTGAACCAAATCCTTAAAATAAGCTGTGTGTGTATGTGTCCTGTTGGTTCTGCTTCTCTGGAGAACCAGGACTAATACAGATGTCTTTCCATCTATTTAGGTCTTCTTTAATTTCTTTCAATGATGTTTTGTAGTTTTCAGTATACAAATCTCATGCTTCTTTTAAAAAACGTATGAATATTTTATTCTTTTTTGACACTGTTATAAATGGAATTATTTTCTTAATTTCATTTTGGATTTTGTATAGAAATACAATTGATTGGCCAGATGTGGTGGCTCATGCCTGCAATCCAAGCACTTTGGGAGGCAGAGGTGGGCGGATCACTTGAGATCAGGAATTCGAGACCAGCCTGGCCAAGATGAGGAAACCCCGTCTCTACTAAAAATACAAAACTTAGCCAGGCATGGTGGCGGGCATCTGTAATCCCAGTTACTTGGGAGGCTGACGCGGGGGACAATCGCTTGAACCCAAGAGGCAGAGGTTGCAGTGAGCCGATATCATGCCATTGTACTCCAGCCTGGGCAACAGAGAGCAACACTCTATCTCAAAAAAAAAAAAAAAAAAAAAAATTGATTTTTGTATAATGATCTTTTTGGAGACAATGTCTCACTTTGTCACCCAGGCTGGAGTGCAATGGCATGAACACCACTCACTACAGCCTCGCCTTCCCAGGCTCAAGCAATCTTCCCACCTCAGCCTCCCAAGTAGCTAGGACTACAGGTGCATGCCACCACGCCAGGCTAATTTTTGAATTTTTTGTAGACACAGGGTTTCACCATGTTGCCCAGGCTGGTCTCCACCTCCTGGGCTCAAGTGGTCCGCCCACCTCAGCCTCCCAAGTAGCTGGGACTACAGGTGTGTGCCACCATGCCCAGCTAAGCTTTGTATTTTCTATAGACACAGAGTCTCACTATGTTGCCCAGCTAGTCTCGAACTCCTGGGCTCAAACGATCCACCTGCCTAGGCCTCCCAAAGTGCTGGGATTACAGGCGTGAGCCACCACGCCTGGCCTTAGTCCCATCTTTGTCATCTCATCCATTGGCTTGACCAGATGCACAGGTGTTACCCTTTGATTCCCTTGGCCATCTTTCTAGTTTCAGAGCATCAATCATGTCTGTCTTGACAGCTCTGCAATTTCTCACTCCATCCTCTCAAGCTCTCCTGTGAACTCCAGGCTCCAGGTTCATAGATCCAAATCTCTGCTTGGATCTCAACATACCATTTCCACAAGCGAAGCCTTCATTGTTCACCCCAGACTTGCTTCTCTTCGCATGCCCCGCATCTTAGTAAAGGTTCTTCCTCTTGCTCAGGCCAAAGTCTTGGAGTTCTTGACTCCTCTCTTTCTCTCAAACACCATGTCCTATTCCTCAGCAAATCTTGTTGCCTCTCCCCCCAAAATCTATCCAGAAGCTGATCTTCTATTCCCACCCTGGTCCAAGCCACCAGTCTCTCATTAGGATGGCTGTGGTGGCCTCCCCACTGGACTCCCATGCTTGCCCTCCCCCAGTCCCTTTGCCACACTGCTACAAGAGTGACTGGAAAACTTAAGTCAAGATTACGTCTTGCTCCTGGTAAAAGCCTCCAATCACTTCCTTTATAACACTGACTTCCAGAAGACCTTCTAACTATGACCTCAAACCCAGAAGGCATAGAAGACAAAAGAGCCCAACTAGCTAAACATAAACTTCTCGTGTCTAAAAAACACCATAAAATCAATGAAAAACGAGGAAAAGTATTTGCACTATTTAACACAAAGGGGTACTCTCCCTCATATATGGAAGGTACCTAGGATTCTACATATTATTTATTTATTTGAGAGAGTCTCGCTCTGTCACCCAGGCTGGAGTACAGTGGTGCGATCTCGGCTCATTGCAACCTCCGCCTCCTAGGTTCAAGCAATTCTCCTGCCTCAGCCTCCTGAGCAGCTGAGATTACAGGTGCCCGCCACCACGCCTGGCTAATTTTTGTATTTTTAGTGGAGACGGTGTTTCACCATGTTGGCCAGGCTGGTCTTGAACTCCTGACCTCAGGTAATCTGCCCGCCTCGGCCTCCCAAAGTGCTGGGATTACAGGCATGAGCCACTGCACCCGACCGATTTCTAGATAAAAAAGACCAACAAGAGGCCAAGGCAGGAGGATCACTTGAGCCCATGATTTCAAGACCAGCCTGGGCAACATAGTGGATCCTGTCTCTATTTAAAAAAAGAAAAAAAAAACCCAAGAAGACCAACAATACAATTAATGGGCAAATGTCAGGAATAGACATTTTGCAGGAGAAATAAAATGCACGTAGTTTTTAAACATGTGAAAAGAGAAATACAAATTAAAAACCACACTAAGATCAAACAAAAACTTGTACGTGAATGTTCATAGCAGCATGATTTACAATAGCCAAAAGGTAAGAACACGTGAAATGCCCATCCATGGATGAATGGATAAACAAGATGTGGTGTACACAGACAATAGACTACGACTCAGTTAGTTATAAAAAGGAAGGAATTCTGACCATGTTACAGCATGGATGAACCTCAAAAACATGATACTAAGAAAAACAAGTCAGACACAAAAGGTCATGCATTGTATGATTCCATTGATGTGAAGCTTCCAGAACAGTCCAATCCATTGAGATGGTAGATTAGCAGCTGCCAGGGCCTGGGGAGCTGGGGAATGGGGAGAGACTGCTGAATAACCACCGGATCTCCTTTTGGGGATGAAAGTGTTCCAGTAGAGAGAGGCAATGGTCACACAACAATGCAATGTACCAAATGCCACCAAATTGTAAATTTTAAAATGGTTAAT